TATCTGCAGTTCTTTTCGTTGCTTTGTATGTTTTGTACCAATAAATAAATATAATGTTTAGACTTTAAAAGTTCAGTTTCTGTTGGACAAAAATAGTTTGTTTTGAAATATCATGCTAATGCTAATGCTATAAGGCTTCACTTGTCTTCAGTTTCATATCCCATTTTCAAATATGCACTGACAAGTCTAGGGATGTAACGATGAACCGCGAGCCGGTTGAAAATAGATTCAAATATGTGACGATTCAAATCGGTTGAGATGCTAAACAAATCGTGATACAACTAGAGTAGGACTTTATATGAATGTATAACTAACTGTCTTTAGAAATGTTTACGTGGTATTTTCTTTTTATCTTGCCTCTGAACGATGCATATTAAAGTAGTTTTCATAAGCGCAGCGCTGCTTTGTTTACATCGGTAACCAAGGAAACACTGTATCATTGCTATTCATAAGCAGCGGTAACCAAGGAAACACTAGCGTCTTATTCAGCTCGTCTGCTGTTTCCTTCAGATATGTTTTATGTAGTATTGTTTCACAAAACTAAAGTTAGACCATTCTGTTTTCGCTTCAAATTTCGAAATTATACAGTCTAATTTAGATTAAAAACTGCTCATGCTGCATCTTTGTTTGGATTCCATAGATAGCAATGTAATTACCACGATCAAGGCCCAGAAACATAGCAAGGAGATCGGTAAAATAATCCATGTGACATCAGGGGTTCACGCGGATAAGTTGTTTTCGTCCGTGTGACACAGCTGACACAGAATAGCATACGCTGTTTACGTTCAGTGGATATTCTCCAAAATGGCACCAGGGTACCGATCTCCTTGCTATGTTTCTGGACCTTAATCGTGGTAATTACATTGGTGTCTATGGAAGGTTAGAGAGCTCTCAGAATTCATCAAAAATATCTTAATTTGTGTTCCGAAGATGAACGAAGGTGTTTAGAATAGGGCTGCACGATTAATCGCATGCGATATTTAACGCGCATCTTGTCAGTAAAGTCGGTTCTGTAATCAGCGGTAAATCTCCATCACCTGCGGGCTTTCACCACAAAGAAACGTGCAGCAATAGCCTAATAAAAGGACACCTTCTCATTTACTGTTTAATTTGTCTTTAATCTCATTTTGTAAAAAAAATCGTGAGAAAATCGAATCGTGAAATCTAAATGGTGAATCGAATGGAATCGTGAGTTGAGTGCCTCGTTACATCCCTACTGGTTTGATTATTCTGCATCTGGATTTGCAGCTGTATATTTGAGCGTGACACGCACCTGTACGAGTAAAGTCATGGGGCCGCTCTTGTCGATCTCCAGGATCTCTCCATTTTTGGTGCCGACCAGAATGTGTCCGTGTCCCAGAGTGATCGCTCTGATGGACGGGTTGTCCTCTAACAGCAGTCCTAAACAACAAGTTTTATTATACAAGTGTAACCCTCTGTAGGTCTGTGATTTGTAAGTTTTGTCATTTTTACTACATCATAATTGTAGGAAATTTGGTGACTTTTGACAAAAATGACCACCATAGAAACCGCATAGGAAATACAGAGTCTTTTTTTGGGGTACAAACTACAAATCTGCCATGATGAAGTAGCCCTTCATATTGTCTGAATATATATCCAAATCTCCTAACAGATGCTAATACAGATCTGCCTGTATTAATTGAAAATAATATGCATCATTTTTCTAATATTTGCATTATTTTATATAAAAAAAATTGTGTATTATTTAGAGGTAAATATTGTTGAGAACCATGAACTCCCTAAAACAATAAAAAATATAAAAAAATAAATACTATTGAAACATTTAGTAAATTTATTTCAAAGTTAAACAGTGTATTCATTTAGCATAAACACTGTATTCATCAAAAATAATAGGATTTTTCTAATATTTGTATTATTTTATATAGAAATAGCATAGAATTTCGAGGTAAATATTATCTAGTACCATTAAATCTCATGATAACACAAAATATAGTACATTCAACTCATAAACAATGTTAAACAGTGTATTACTTTAACAAACAATGTATTTATTGAAAATATGAATGGTTTTCTAATATTTGCATTTCATATAGAAACAAATAGTGTCAAATGTCTAGTACCATCAGATCCTGTCAAAATACAAAAATATTAAATAATAAAGATTACAAAACAAAATATAGTACATTAATTTATAGTACATCACTAAACAAAATCAAACACTGTATTAATTGAAAATAATATGTATTATTTTATTAATATTTGTATTGTATTATTCTTTATAGAAATAAGACATGTTTTAGAGCTGTATTGTACCATTAAATATTAAATAATAAATATGATTGAGACAAAATACAGTACACTCATTACAAAAAAGAATGCAATAATTAAAAATAACATTAATAGTTTTTTTTCTAATATTTATATTTCCATATTATTATTATTTTATATAGAAATAATATTTTTTAGAGGTAAATATTGTCGAGTACCATGAAATCTCACAATATAAAATATTAAATAATAAATATGATTGAGACAAAATACAGTACATTCATTACAAAAAAATAATGCAATAATTAAAAATAACATGAATGTTTTTTTTCCTAATATTTATATTTCCATATTATTATTATTTTATATAGAAATACTATTTTTAGAGGTAAATATGGTCGAGTACCATGAAATCTCACAATATAAAATATAAAATAATACATATTATTGAAACAAACTGTAGTACATACATTTAATCAAAAAGCACTGCAATAATTAAAAATAATATTAATTGTTTTTCTAATATTTCTATTTACATATTATTATTATATGCAAATAAATAGTTTATTTTTTGGCGGTAAATAATGTTGAGTACCATGAAATCCCCTCACAATACTAAATATTAACTAATAAATGAAGATTTAATTTGCAAAAACAGATAACTCTGTTTTTAACAATTCTCAGAAATCATGTTTTTTCATTGTGCATTCCAATTAATCTCAATCAAACTGCAGTTGGGTTATTTTGACTAGGTTAAAAAAACAGCTAACTAACACAATAAAACACAATAAAAACATGATAATATTATAAAAAAACATGATTTTTCAAAATAAAAAAAAACGGAGTTATCTGTTTTTGCAAATAAACTCTTCAAATATTACAGAAACAAAATATAGTCCATTTATTTCATTGTAAAAGTGGTCTGTTATGAGGATTTATAATTACCCTTAGATGAAGGCGAGAGCGCTGCCCTCTTGATGGCGTACGTCTTCAGACATCTCTCGAACATGTCGTCCCACAGCTCAACAACTCCATCTTTACCCCCCGTCACAAAACCCTTCAGGTCACAACACACCATTAACAGCTGAGAAATGCATTTCACCTACTGTTTATCTACATTTCTAAGCAGGATACCATGTACCTGTGGCAAAATCAGCTCACCTTATCCAGAGAGCACATGGCAAACACGGGCCCGTCGTGAGCTTTGATGCTCTTCATGAGCGTCGTGTCTTTCCAGATGTACACGTCACCCGTCGTCGCCCCAGAAAACACCAGATCCTCCGAGCGTCCGTAGCAGGCGGACATCATGGTCTCCTGCCTACCGAGATTCCCGAAAATGCCTCTTTTAAATGTTAAACCTCCTCCTGGAGTGAGAAATAAACATCAGGCAAATGCGTTTTCATTTATACAGAGGAAAAAGCATCCAAAGCATTAGTTCACAGAGAGTAATTCAGTTACTGGAGCATTTGGTTTCGACTTACTGAGCTCTTTTTAAAGCTCTCTCTCACATTTAATTGGTAAAATACGGCGTGCTGATGGTAAAGTTGGCAAAACAGTCACATCAGCTTATGACGGCTTGATGTGATGTGGCAGATTCTCCTTACAGTCATGTTCTCGTGAGAGAGACGGGCAAGAGCTTATGCTTCAGATATTTCAGTAAAAACACTGTCTGCACATATAACAAACATCCTAAGCTGAAAACAAGTGCTATTGCCGTGATTTAGGATGCAAGACTCTCTCTAAAAAAATGAATGAATCTCACCTGTGTGCAGCCAGAACTTGATGTGTTTCAATCCCACCGTCAGCAGTTTGTCCATGCGGAACGGGTTTCCTTTCACCACAAAGATCTTATCTTTATGTCCTCTATGGTAAAGAGAGAGACAGATGTCTTTCGTGAGCAATTCAGCTTGCTGTACACTAGTGCTGGGCAGTATACCGGTTCATACCGAATACCGGTGTTTTACCTGGATTTGGCCAGTTTTTCGCCTTTTTTCCAGTCCCAGATGACTAAGGAATGATCTTCGTCGATTCCCACAGACACTAAACTCTTGCCGTCCGCTAGATTTGAGAAAGTGAAGTAACAGAATGTGACGCAAAAATGCTTCACAACATGTTTAAGCAGTTGTAAATTGTATAAAAATAAGATTCTGGAAACATTCATGGAGATGCATTGGATTACTTTGCTTGAAACCAGGGAATTTTGTCAGAATATTTAATGCTTCAATGTAATTATTAAAAAAATTAGCACACTCTGAAATACATCAAGTTTATGGGGGGAAAAAACTATTTAACATTAATTTTAACTCAGATCTCCAGTTTCTCAGCTGATTTCCATGTAATATGCAGAGTTATTTTAGTATCACTGAGAAATTATTATAGTTAATATTTTATTTTATACTTAATATTTTGAATTCATTTTTATTTTCTATTTTAATTTTAAAGTTTAGAACTTTTGTTATGAATTTTTGTTTTTTTAATAGTTTAAAATTTTTGATACGTCTATTTAGTTTTTATTATTTTAAGTTGATTTATTTTAGTATATTTTAGTTAAATTTAAATAAGGAAGGTGTCTTTGTCAACTCATTAAAATACAAGTAATTTATTGTATTTCAAAGTTATATATACATTTTACCCTGGTGAAATGTAAGTTTTATAAATTAAACTATTATTACTATTATAGTTAATATTTTATTATTTTATATTTAGTACTTCAAATTAGTTTTTATTTGTATATTTTCAGTTTTCATTTAATTTTAGTTCATTTTAATTTTGTGCATTTTGACATTTTTTATTAGTTTACATTTTTTGTCTACATAGCTTTTATGAATTTTTTAGTTTTCGTTTTATTTCTTTTAGTACATTGAGTTAAATGAAAATTAAAAATACATCCTTGAAAACTAATTCAAATAAAAAAATGTTTTTTTATATAATTTATTGCATTTCAAAAGTTTCAAAAATAAAAGTAGGATTAAATAAACATTAAAAGAGATGCATTTTATTACTGGTTTCAATGCAAATGATGTGGTGGTCTGACCTGTGAACTCCAGAGCACAAACCCCGCGCTGATGTTGACCCTTCAGCAGAGATAAACACTTGAGTGTCTGGATGTCCCACACATGGATGGCTGGATCTCGACCCACCTGACACACACAAACACACCAGCTCAACATCTGCATGATCTACACGCACTTCACATTTATTACCACGCCTTACAGAAAATACACACTCCATAAAATGATCACCAACCGAAGGCAATATGATCTGAAATAAGGCTGTGCATACTGACAGCTCAAATCCAACCGTTAGGCATATTTGATAGAAATCTGTTTGGGGGAAAACCCTATCAAATCTGATCCGATCTGGTTTGAAATCTGATTTGTGGACAACAGTTTGAGTCGTAAAGCTCTCACCTGTCCGGTGGCCACGTAATCTTTGAGCGGATGCACAGTGAGGCTCAGGATATCATCGTCATGACCGAGGTAAAAGCGCTGCGTGTGCTGCTGTCTGTTATACACCACCGCCACAGCCGCCACATGATACACCACCTCACCGGCCTGAGTGTAGAACAGATTATTCCTGCAGTCGCAGCCCCTGTACCTGAGACACAGACACACACCAGTCAACAACCACTGCAGCTATCAGCTCTGCTAATGTCAGTAGAGAGAAGCATTCAATTGCTCTGAAATATATTAAGTTTATAGAAAAAAACTATTTAGCATTCATTTTAACAAAACTCAACTTTCTCACATGGTTTGCATTTAGGTTATATATAACCTGTTACGTATAAAAACTGTGTAAAAAAATTTACAAATAAAAGTTTGAAGATGGATTTTGTCAGAATACACAAAAAATTCATAGAATTCATAGATTTTGTCAGAATACACAAAGTTCATAGGGGAAAAAAATCCAATTTAACATTAATTTTAACTTTTAATTTAAATCTTAAAGTTTCTCAGCTGGTTTTCTAAGATGTGGGTTTTATATATATATATATATATATATATATACACACACACACACACACAGTAGTCAACATTTGAAGTGGATCAAAAAAGTTAATCAAAGTTGTCCTAAGACAAGAACGCATTTTGGTTTTAGGTTTTAGGACAACTTCGATAAAAGATTTTGATCCACTTCAAATGTTCACTACTTTATATATATATGATTAGCATTAGATGCATTTGACTACTTTGCTGTATTTACTTAGTTTGTGAAATTTTGACATTTGAATACTTTTTCTTTTAAATGAGAATTTTTATCAGGCTCCCGTTTAGGTTCAGTAATTTCACTTTAATGGCAAAAAAAAGGTTATTTTCAAAAATGTCCAGTGATATTTTCGTAGAAGCCTAATAAGTCTTCATATATAATTACACATTATACTTTAAAAATTCGAATTAATATTCTAATATATAAATATAAAATATGCATATAACATGAATATATCTTATAATTGTATGTATGTATACTTTACAATTAATGGATTCATTCTATAAATATAAAATCATATATCATATAAATATTATACATTTTTATATATTTATATATTTTCATATATATATATATACAGTGGGTACGGAAAGTATTCAGACCCCCTTCAATTTTTCACTCTTTGTTATATTGCAGCCATTTGCTAAAATCATTTAAGTTAATTTTTTTTCCTCATTAATGTACACACAGCACGGATATAACCGCCATCCGCGCATCACTAATATATATATTATAATTCAAATTTAGAATTTTTTTTATACATACAGTACAATTTATAACCCAAGAGAGGGTAAAAGATATGGACACACACTGTGTTCATACCAAACACATCATAACGTTTGCAGTGAATTTACCCGTGGACGAACTGCAGGCGCAGCCCCTCGTCCGGAGCTTTCTGCCTCTTCAGAGATCCAGCCAGTCTCTTCTTGAGCTGAGGAAGATCTTCCTTATACACCTGAGGGGTGTTTGGGAGAAGAGTTACAGGGAGAAATCCACTAGAGACACATTCAGAGATTCAGAAAAAGCATAAAGGGCAACAGCAGCCGGCCAAATCAGCTGTGAAAATAATGAGAGGAACAGGAAGAAAACAGCCTAGCATGACTGTTGCATAAAACACTCGACATAAGACCCTCTCAGTTTGGGATCTTGGGTTTTGTTGGGGTTTAAGTGTCTCTTGCCTGACGCTCGTAGTTCATCTGGGCCTCCTGTTCGATGTCTGAGTCCAGCTCGGGAACGTCGGAGAGGTCAGAGTCAGAGTCGCCGCTGTTAGAGTCAGCGTAGCTCTCTGTGAACGAGAAAACACTGCTTTCAGAATTTCTGCTTTCTCTGTAGTTCACTCATTTCAGTCCAAACTTTCAATCAAAATGTCAAAATAAAATGTACAATTAAAAACACTATACTAATTTTTATTCAGGGCTTCCCAAACTTTTTTGTCAGCCGAATCCTTTAGACGTAAAATATTTACTTGCACTACCCGAGATTTAAACTTAATATTTCAATAATTTAATGACACATTCACAAGTTCATGATTGGTTGATGTTGGTTTGTGGTCACATGACATGCAAGCAAACAGATAAAATATCTAATATTTTTAATAAGTATTTTATTTTGATTTTTTTAAATCTTAAAATTAGTATACATAAGGCTGCATGCATCGGTATGCATAGAGCTTTTATTATTATTATTTTATATTATTTATACTAATTATTTATTACATTATATTATTATATTAATTAAATCTAAATACATTATTATATTATGTGTTCTTTTTAAATTACTATTGATTATTATTAAGTGTTTTAACAATCATAAAAATAACATTATAAACATTATTGTTGGAAATTACAATTATCCTGTAAAATAAAAAAAATATCTTAGGCCTAATAATTATTTTATTTTACACTGCAAGTTACAAAACTAGTATTTTTTTTTTATTCTTAATTTTCAAATGTTAAGATTTTTTTACTAAAAAATGCATAACATATTTGCATAAATACTGACCTTTAAAATGTAGGTGAACCATAAAGTGTCATTACTTTTCACGACTTTACCATTAACTATTAATGAATTTCCAACACCTTTTTTTTTTTGACAACACCGCATTTGAGAAGGTTTTTGATAACTTTTCCAGGTCTGAAAATCACAGTTTTAAAATTCCCTGACATTTCCATATGCTTCATTATTTGCGAAAACCTAGTATTTTCTATAATGCATAAATGCCAACTGTTTCCGAACAGGTTTTCATGTCCCATAATAAACTAAAATAAATGAGATTCACCTTGCAGCAGCGGCTCCAGAACTCCATTCATGACTCCTTCGGGCAGAAACCTCCACTGGAAGACGGAGTGATCGGCTCCGCCCGTGCTCAGAACCCACTGCAGGTCATGTGACCAGCGCACATTGGTCACATGGGCAGAGTGGCCGATGTATTTCTTGAATTTGGCAGCTGAAAGAATCACATTTGTTAGCACACACTGGTTTATTCAGCACGGATCACACAGATATCTGGATAACCGAGCAGACCTTTTTTAAGACAAGGGAATCGGAAGAGTTTGACGAGGCCGAAGTCGTCGCCCGTCACCAGCACTGCACTGCTGTAGTTTGCATCCACAGAATTGATGTCGTTCACGTTGGAATATTTAGGCCAGATTCCGTTGACCTCAGTTCCGAGAACACAGGTCCACGTCATCCAATGGATTCCTTTGGCTTCCTCCTTCGGCAGGAATTTACCGGCTATAGACACAGAAGAACAACAGTTAGGACAATTATAAGCATGATATGATTAATAAAATACCTTACAGTACAGTACGTAATTCAGGGTTTCATGACCTTTGCAGTGTTGTTGATTGCTGGACAAAGATTTTTAAAAATCATATAGAATGTCTTTGTTGTGAATTCCTGGAGACTTTTTAATGTCCAAAATGAGTCAAAAATGTTTTAAAACTTGAATTTGAACTGATGTCATATTGCTAACTTGCTTGAGGGAGAAATTTCCTCTACAGAAACACACGTCTATTGACATTTAAATGAATCCTAGAGTGTTATTAATTTTCATGGCTTTGCATTAATTATTAACAAATTTTCAAGACCGTTTTTTGACCAGCAACCACCTTTGAGAAGGTTTTTAATGACTTTTTCAGGTTTGGAAAATTTTAAAATAGTTTTTCATGATGGTGAAAACCCTGTTAATTTAAGAAAATGCAAACATATTTCCATAAATATTAAAAACATAAATATTTAAAACTTCAACAATGCATACTGACTTTTGAAATTTAAATTAATTGTAAAGTGTTATTAATTTTCAAGACTTTCTATGAATTATTGATAAATTATAAAACTTTTTTTTTCACCAGCAACCACCTTTAAGAAGGGTTTTCATGACTTTTGCAGGTCTGGAAATCACAATTTTAAAATCGTTTTTCATAACTGTGAAATCCAGAGCAATTTAAGAACATGCATAAATATTTGCATAAATCTTAAATGCATAAATATTTAAAACTTTAACAACGTATATTGCATTAAAAATTTAAATGAATAAAAAAAGTTTCATTAATTGTCATGAAGATTTTCATGACTTTCATTAATTTTCGTAGATGATTAATGAAATTCCAAGATTTTTTTTTCACCAGTGCCACTTTTTAAAAAGGTTTTTCATGACTTTTCCAGGTCTGGAAATCATAATTTTAAAATTGTCTTTCATGATTGTGATAAATGTAAATTAATTGTAAAGTTTTATTAATTTTTAATTATTACAAATTATTAATTCCGTAATAAAAGAAAATCATAAATATTTGCATAAATACCCAATGTATACTGACTTTTGAAATTTAAATTTCATTACTTTCACATTAATTATTAATGAATTTTCCCAGATCTTTTTCACAAGCACCCACTTCTGAGAAGGCTTTTGATGGAAATCACAATTTTAAAATCATTTTTCATGACTGTGAAAACCCTAATAAAAAAAATTATAAATAAATTAAAAAAAAGCATGAATACTGATTGCTTCCAAACAGGTTTTCGTGTCCCATAATTTAACATTTTATCATCCATCTTCACTAAAATAGCTTTATGACTTTTCCAGGTCTGAAATGGTTTTTCATGACTGTGAAAACCCTAGTAATTTATACAATGCATATTTGAATAAAGATTTAAAACTTTAACAATGTATACTGACTTCCGAAATTTTAATGACGTAATGAAAAAATGCATAAATATCGACTGTTTCCAAACAGGTTTTCATGTCCCATAATTAACTGGAATTTAGTATTTTATCACGCATCTTCACCAAACAAAAAATTGCACAATTTTTGAAAGAAAATACAGCTTGGAATTTATACATATCGTAAAGTGTCAATAATTTCCACGACTTTCCCATTAATTATAAATGAATAATTATTCTTACTTGGCATCCTGTAGAAGAATCGCTCTCCAGCTCCATCGTTGGTCTGCAGGAAGCGGCTGTCCACGGACCAGTCCAGGTGTGTTATGAAGCAGGTGGACTTGTTGCACTCTCCCACTTTCTTATAGCGTTGGGCCACAGCGTAGGTGTCCACAAACCCGTCGTTGGAGCCCACGGCCAAGTAAGAGCCATCGGGTGAGAACTTGAGCTCGTGAATGACCTCCTTCCTGTCCTTGATGTGGACCACCTCCGTCATGTCCCTTCGAAAACCAGACAGGCTCTCAGTTTGTGAATAATGAAGCTGAAATAATGAAGTGCAGGGGATCTAAATTCAATTACCTGACACGAAGAACAGTGAAGGAGCCGTCCTTCATGCCGAGAGCCAGCTGGGAACCGTCGTTGGTGAAGGAAACGCTGCGAACGGCCTCTTCCATGTTACAGCGAGCGATCAGCGTGTGTTCGGACAAACTCCACAGTCTAAACAAGCATGTTTGAGGAAAATTAAAATGTGTCCATATTTATGTCTGTATTGTATGTTTAATCTAGGGCTGGGTAATATGGTTTGTTAGACCTTGAGAATGAACTTTAATCAAGGCCCGATAAATCCATTTTATTTTCCCCTAAATTCTATGTATTCAAATTGTTTCTATATTTATAGATTATAATTTAATGCAAATTTATAATGACAAATTGAGTCATTAATAAAACTTTAACAATTAAATGTTTTCCCAAATGTAATCAAATAAAAAATATAACGAATAACTTTGATCAAAACAAGTTTTTTAGTGAAGTAAAATGCAAATATGGATGAAAAAATATCTTGGTTATATGATATTCCTTAAAAATAAAAAAAAATATTATTATTACTTTGAGACGTAAAAAGTTAAACCAGGCTTTTATTTTGATGATTTGTTGTGAAGATTTAATTTCAGTTTTTAGTTTCAGTCCCAGGGTGTATTTGACAGTAGTTTTTCTCAAATTAAATGGTAATCAATTACAAATATAAATTAATTTACAACAAAATATTGCATTTTTATTTATTTTTTGTCATATAAGATGCTGAACAACAGAACTGTATAAACTAAAACATGGATGAAAAAATATATTGGTGGCATGATATTCTTTAAAAATGAAAATATTATGATTATTACATTAAGAACGGCATTTTAGTATAGAATGGTACTATATTTTGTCATAATTTCTTCATGTTAAACCAGAATTTATTTGGACAGTTTGTTGTGAATATATTTCAATTTCAGATTGAATTTGATGGTACTTTTTCTCAAATGAAACCGTGTAAAGCTGCTGTAGTGACTCACAGAGCAGCTCTTGGAAATGAAGTTCATGTGTTCATGTCTCATATATTGAGATGCAGCCACTGAAAACACTGCGAGCATCATGTGTGTTTGAGTGTGAAATGTCCAGATTGTTTATCGCAATCTCAATACAATAACGTTTATTGCCCAGCCCTAGTTTAAACATTCGGAAAAACCAAACATCCTATTTCCACTCGTCTTGCTCCATTGTCTACTGTGTGAACTGATGTAGCATGAACTGAAATCCAATAGCAGGAGTGGACTGACCGTACGGATCGATCGTCGCTGCCTGTGACGGCCAGCGGTTGTTTGGGATGCAGGTCGAGGGCCCAGAGCTCCCCCTCTGAATGACCCTGCATGATCAGCAGTGGTTTATCTCGGTCTCTCACCATCACCTCGAAGATCTCGCTGTCTTGAGTTCCTGCCAGGATCCTGTCAGCCCTCCAACACACGCTGCGGATGGACAGGCCTGGAGAGAAAGAGTCATTCAGGTTCATCAAATTAAAGTCCAACACCAAGCATTCCTGGTTACCAGCAAATAATCTAGCGTAGCGTTAGTTCTGGCAGGTCACGTTAGTCAAGCTCGCATCAGCTGATCCCCATCAACCTATAGGAATACGACACCTATCTAAGCATTCATATATAAGGTCCCTCAGTATCATCAGCAGGTGAAAAGCGCTATACAAATAAACTTGACTTGACTTGATAGTGGTCCTGACAGAACTGGAATTTTTTGAAAATTATATGACATCTACACTTTAACTAAAGTCCACGGGAAGATGTCCAGGCATCTTAACTAGTTCAAACATTCAAAACCGGTTAAGATTACCATAAACGTGTCCCTCAGTTTGTAAAAACAAGCAGAAGTTGTTGGAAACAAAACAACTTAACTTTATCTAATCTGGATCTGGTGGGCTGCATTTTAAAGTTTTTAAAATTAATATACATTTTTAAAATTGATTATTCAAAATTCTATGAATAACTTTAAATTATCATTTGTTTTCTAATTTTTGATGTGTTTTAACTTAAGCATTTTCTGCATAAAGCCAATTATTACATTACAAAGCAGTGCTGCTATCATTTTCTAAAACGAAAACCATAGAAACTGAAATAAAGAAATAACTGAAGTAAAGCTGGAAATAGATAAAATATAAATATGAAAAACATAAATAAACAAAGCCATGCCTATTAAAAACTATAAAATAATAAAACAATTTAAATATTAAATATAAATATATAAAAATTAAATATATACATATAAATATGAAATTAAATATATAAATATAAATACTAGATGAAAAAAATCTAACAATTAAATTAGAACTGAAATACTATAAAGTAAACTTCTAAAACTGAAATAGATATAAATTAAAAATAATTATACAAAAAAAATTCAAAATATATTCATATTCATGTATATATTATATACATTAAAAAGACAAAAGCACATAACAAACGTAAACTAAAGCTTATTCAAAATACTAATAAAACCAATAAAAGTATATAAATAATACTGTTACTTAGCAGAAAAAAATTTAAATCGATGTTACAAGGTATATAAAAAAAAATCCACATACCAGAAATTAAACCAGTAACTCCAAACCAAAAGTTATTTTACTTAGAAAAAAGCACCACTTCTAAAAGACAACATTAAGAGCTCAAAAACACACACATTATTGTATTGAACAATTAATATAATCACAAAAAATAGCTGTGTAAAATAGAGTGTAAAAAGCTTCACACTCATCAGCTGTCATAAGCTGGTGTTTTAAGCAGGACAGAATGTAATTGGCTCATTAACTGACTGTATAGACTCAAAAATAAACCTTTAAAGCAGAAAAAGTAACAAATGTGTTATATGGGAGTCTAAATTGGACAGACCAGCAAAATGTCAAACAAACAAACCCAGTGTGAATCGTTACGTTTGATGGACTTCTCTGATCCAAATGAGTCAAAAGTCTTCATCCAGTAAGAGTACAGAGCTATAAAAGAGCAGCTCGGATCATCTGATGAGAAACGTTTGAGTTCATATTGAGATCTCTGAGACACTGTTGAGATCTCTTCTGAAAGATTACTGGGGTGATTTTCTCAGGAGAGATGTCTGAGAAGCAGGAGACTTCAGCAGAAGACACTCGGCAAAACAATTGAGATATTTTCCGTTTTTTTCTTTCCAGCAGGAAGCGTTCGGCGTGGTTTGTTAAATCTGCTGAGATTTCTGTTTCAGACTGACCGGATCTGATCTGATCTGATAGTTATCTGACAGTCTTCTGCTGTGAAAGTGCTGACAGCTTCATTGCTACAAGACTTACATCTGCTGAAAACACTGTCACTCGTGTGATACAAGCGCAGGCCGTGTTGCCATGGTGACACAATCCCTTCTATACTGAGTTTGCTGTACCTCCATAAGGAGTCAAACGATGGATGCAATGCAATTTCCTTTTGAAAAATGGCCAATAATGGTACAAGCTTTTGTGGTTCATTACATAGAGCCCTATTATTCTTATTATACAGTATATACACTATTATTATTATTTACACAAACAAAATCCCTGAATCCAGTCACAAAAATGGAATTTACTTTTTAACACGGAATGTCATGGAATTTGGCAAAATTTAAATAAATAAATTGAAATATACACTTAATCTTCAGACAGAGGTCTTCACTACAACCCGCCAAAAGAAAAGTTTGGTTTAACATATCATTCGCTTTAACTAATAGCAATAATACAGTTTATTAAACACAATTTTTTGTCCATGTTTCAATTTAACTTGTAAACCTCTGTTAGGGTTCAAAAATGTCTCTGTTAGTTCACATTTCATTTGATACCATTTGAAAAGATTCAATTATTATCTAAGTTTTATGATGTAAGTTTTTATTGATGTAGTTCATTTGATTATCAGCCATTTTTATCATAGATTTTTATTAAGTCATAAAACACAGAATCCAGAACACTCAAAACAGACAATCAAGAATTTCAGAAAAGTCCCTATTATTGTTAAAAATGTAACGAATTACTAAATTGTTAAAGTTTCATGATTCCTTTTTGATTATTAAAATTTTACGAAACCATTAATAGCGGAATCAAGGAAAATTAAAAAATGAAATGTCATTGTTAAAAGTGCGATGAATTATTCAATTGTTAAAGCTTTATGAATTCAATTGATTAAACATCCGTTTTTTATAATTGTACTGCCTTAATGGTTTGATGTTTTGTACTGTTTAATAGAAAACAAAAATCGGGAAAAAGATTCACGCTATGCGTTCCAAAGTCCCACCAATTCACGCAATTCACACTGGGTCAGATTAGAAATAGTTATTTGCTGTGTAAATGTTAATGAAGCGAAAGATGTGTTGTGAATGAGCATGTCACACAGTACATTAAACTATTTCAAAAGGGCAAGAAAAAGGCCCGCTGTAATGTTTTACCTTTATAACCCTGTTCTGCCTCCCGGAGGTCAATCTTGGTGATGGGTTTGAAATCCACGTCCCACAGCCTCACACATCCATCCCGCCCACCGGTGGCGAAGCCTTCTTCACATGAATGCATGCTGAAGATCCCTGCCTGCAGAACAACGAGAGTTTACAAACGCATGTGCAACAGGTCACACGTCACCACATGCTATATTCACTAATGTCACAGATGCATGACACAGATGGCCAATGCATTGAATGTCTGATCATAAATTGTAACTTCAGTGAATGTCCATTAATGGAGATGCTATAGCGCACAGCTGATGTGTATGTGGTGGGAGTGATGGTGTAGGAAGTGTGATGAGCTTCACTCACTCCATGCGCCGCCTGTATCGTTCTCGTCAGGTTGAGCCCCTTCCACACGTAAATGTCTCCATTTAGAGCTCCAGAATACGTCACTTCATCTTTCGCCGTTGCCAAGCAGAGGATGGTTTGCAGGTCCCCCGTCTTTCCAAAGATCCCTCGTTTTGGTGTCAATGCATTTCCACATAATGTCCAAAACTATGAGACAAAAGAGAAAATCACCTTCATATTTAATTCATTTCAGTTTGTTGCTCATGCAAATTAGCTTTAAATCTTAAAATATTGTGCATGCATAACTTCGTTTTTAGAGCTTGACATCTGTGCATTCACTTTTACTAAATGGAAAGTCATACAGGTTGACTAAATCAGACAGAATTAGATTTTTGGCTTTAAATGATATTCTTCTGTCTCAGTTGTTCAGTATGTTAATGCATTTCTTGAAGTCTGTGAAAAAGCACTGCATTTGCAGTAAAGATGAAAACAAGAAAGGAAAGGAGGAATAAATTACGGCATGTTTTCCAGTGATGCCTCATTTATTTGTTTCCGAGAGCGGGTTCGAGTGAACTTTGTCTCAGGGGTTTGACTCACTTTAATGTGCTTGACTCCGCAGCTCACCAGTCTGTGCGGCACAAACGGGTCCCAGGAAATATCAAAGATCTGAAACGCAGCACAAAAAGGTGGAATAAACATGTCAACTCTTCCACAACATCTTTCGTAATGCCAAAACCGATTACACTGAATTAAGCAGAGTCTCTAAAATTATACACAATGCAAAAGATAATGGAAATTATAATGCAAATACCTGAATCATATTTGCTGAATAAAATCCAATACTTGTTTCTTACTAATTTTGAGGTGCTGATTCTAAAAATAGTGGCGGTTTTGCTCAAACACGACACACTTTCTCATAAAATATGATGCATTTCATAGCATTTTTGCTTTCAACAACCATTAGTAAGGTGACGAATTCTTGTATTATCTCTTAATCAGCAGAAAAACACCCCAAAGCTATGATTCTTATCTGAATCTGAGCCACATCCCAATGATTTGCTCAATTCTCAGCCAATTTTCACATGACTGATTCTGAAGACATTGAATGTCTTGAAGATATTATTGAATGATTCTGAAGACATTATTTTATGCATGATCCTGATTTTTGCAGACTGTAATTTAAATGATCAATTTTGAATTTTTTTGGTCATTAAAACCAATTTTACTGCTTTTGTTATTTTGATAAATGCATTAAAGCAGATACATACATACATACTTTTTAAAAAGTGGGAAAAAACTGCATGTTGGAAAGTTTTTATTGTTATTTTTGAACTCAGCATCATCAAATTAGGCAAATCAGCTGTTATATTTAGTATAATTGGGATACTAGTATTTTTTATTAATATTTTGAATAAGAATTTTGAATAATTTTTTTTTATATTTTCCACTTTCATTTAAATTTTAGTTCAAGTTTGTAGTGACTTTGTAACGTGTTTTGTCATTTTTATAAGTTTTTTTTCATATCTCTATATGGGTTTTATTGATTTTATTTAGGTTTTAGTTATATTATTACATAACATGAAATAAAATACGTTTTTCTTCAGATATTTTTGGCAAATTATTTTTTATTTTATTTTTTTTTTTCAAGATCCAGGGCTGTGTAATTATAGTCATGCTTGCTAATTAGCTAAACATTCAGCAATTTATAACAAGAACAATGCATTAAGCATCTTAATCAACATCATTTTTCTTCTTTCCATAATTCTTCATTTTAAACTATCCATTTATCTTTCAAACAATGTGATTTCTTCATTATTTGCATGCATTATCTGCAAATAAACACTTCATAAAGCCTTCTTGTTGCTCAAACAGTAGATCATGTAAATCAGTAAATCATGCCGCTAGCAACGGGTTCGATTTCCAGGGAATGCATGAAGTGATCAATCATATACCTTGAATGCAATGTACGTTGCTTCAGATAAAAGCTTCTGCCAAATGCATGAATATAAAATGCAAACGATATAAACTCTAAATTGCTTTATATTCCATCGGCAGTACCGGCAGTGAATCTGTTGTGCTGGAACAGCAGAGAGAAGACAGCAGGGTTTTAATGGCACCGTAGGGAGTCTTCTGGTGTCTGTGGTTCTTCACTAAGCTGCTCTGTCATCTCTGCTGAGGCTTCAGACTCCCTTCACACTGAGCGTGTGTGTGTGTGTGTGTGTGTGTGAAACACTCTGTCTGTCAGTTCGTGCATTGAAATGCTCCTTTGTACTGTAGCACAACACAATAACTTATTCATAACGCTCTTAACGGTTATTCATTCACATCACTGAGGTGTAGCATCTGTTGCTATGGAAACAGTCCTACCATGTGTCGACTGGATGGGCACTTTCTGTGCTTTTCACTTCATGCACTAAAGTCACAAACTTTCTGGCCTAATGAATGAAATGCTGGACTGTGCGGTTTTGATGTAATTAACTGTCGGTAATGAGGAACAGTCAGTTCTGTTCTTACCCTATCAGAATGTCCCGTGGCGGTGGCTAAGACACGCCCCTTTTTCCAGTCCCACACGCACACCGTGTTTTTGGCATCAAGTCCCACTGATGGATCGGCAGAGAATCGTCTTTCTGCGAGTCATTGTGCTCACTTTTGGAGTAAAAGTTTGTATGTTGTATAGCGAAGCACTGATCAAAAATAAATGGAAGCAAACGCGATTGAATAGACTGTCTCGTTATTCTGATCAAAATATCATTAACTCTCAATTGATTTTGCATTCCTGGCAGAAATGAGAACTATTAGTGTCACTGTAACCAAGTACATTTACATTTACATTTAGCAGACGCTTTTATCCAAAGCGACTTACAAATGAGGACAATAAAAGCAGTCAAAAGCTTAATGTTCAAAAACACAAGACAGGACAAAATAAGCCGTTAGATGAGAGCATTTGCAAACAGATGAAGGTAATCTGATTTTAATAACAATACTACTCAGGGTTAATATAGTTAACTAAAAATAAGATTGAAACTAAAATTAAAACAATTAAAAACTATTTTGTTACTTGAAATCAAATAAACTAAGCTAAAAAAAAAACATTTTATTTCAGCTAGCTGACAAAGCAGCATTTCTTATTTTCTTATTTCTGTTTAGGTGTTTGTTCACATAAAAACCATGTTTAACGCATATAAAGAGCGCATCAACTATGGTAAAAAAAAAAAAAGAAAAAAAAAAGAAAATCACACATTTGAGCTTCCATGTTAATTACTATTAATACATTTCTCAGCTGCTCGGATTGATTTGGGCAGGACGTTCCACCAGGAGGGAACAGTTAATGAAAAAGTCTGTCTCAGTGATTTTGTGCCTCTTTGAGATGGCACAATAATACGCCGTTCACTTGCAGAACGCAAGCTTCTAGAGGGCACATAACTCTGAAGTAATGAATTTAGGTAAATGGGTGCAGAGCCAGTGGTGGTTTTGTAGGCAAACATTAATGCCTTGAATTTAATGTGAGCAGCTACTGGTAGCCAGTGCAAATTGATGAACAATGGTGTGACATGCGCTCTTTTCGGCTCATTAAAGATTAATCTTGCAGCGGCATTTTGGATTAATTGTAGAGGTTTGATAGAAGTGGCTGGAAGACCTGCCAAGAGAGCATTGCAATAGTCCAGCCTGGATTTGACTGTAAGTGCCCTATTGTGTCACACTTCTAATATTATCTTATATATAATCTTATATATATATATACACACACACGGAGTGTTTTGGCATTTTTCCGTGGGTGCTCGGCAATTTCCGGCGCCTATGTACTGTATATATATATATATATATATATATATATATATAGGGTGCGATTTGTAGGGGGGGTATTTCCCCCCTTCTGGTCTATTTCAGAGTGACAGTATGAGATTAATACTCAATGTTTTTTCTTAAAACTCACTCTACTGTGACCTAATCCAGATATTATAAACTGACACAGAAGTGTATTATGAGACAGAACGCAGAAGTTTACCGTCACCGTAATGTAGGAATTATGATCACGCAATATTGACTGATGGATCGGCAGAGAATCATCTTTCTGCGAGACATTGTGCTCACTTTTAACAAGTATTACCATAAATAGTGGTCAAATATTGAAGCTATCTAATCTCAAGGTCAATTCAGAATATTTATTGTAAAAATGGTTTTGTAACAGTTGCCAAAAATTATATATATATTGCTGTGATTTGTGATATAATTTAAAGGGAAAAAAATAAAAAAATTGTTTTTTTTCAAAACGTCCCCCCCTCTGGTTTGTTCACAAATCACACCCTGTATATATATATATATATATTACTTGATAAAAATACATTTTTTAAAATGTATGTAGTCAGGGACAGAGAGCAAGCTTGTTTCTAACAATAATAATATTGTAACTAAGCAGAATCATGAATATTTCTATTGTGTATCTTATTTTGTTAACCATTTATTATAACTTAGACGTAATAATAAAAAAGTAATTTTTTACTTTTAACTGTAGTTTGTTGAAAGTATAGTGAGAGTATCGTATCATGAGATCAGTATTGTGCGTCAAGCCATGTATTGTTACACCCCGAAATATGACAAAAATATGTTCATATTAATACGTTTATTGTATATGTATTTGAGAATGCAGCCAAATCAGAATTAAGTATTTCAGAGAGCCGTGCAGGAAGTCATGTGACTCACCTGGCCGTCGGCATCGAAGGCCAGACAGGCCACACCGTGCGTGTGAACGTCTCTGAGGATGGACACGGTGGTCAGCGCGTACGAGTCCCACACGCAGATATACGGATCCTTCCCAACCTGACCTGTGGCCACCTGGATCTTATCCGGATGCAGCGCTAGACTGAGAACAGAAGAGACACGCGCCATGATTTACACTGTCAGAAAGACAGACAGAAAAGAGAAGAAAAGCAAAGCAAAGAAAATAAAAGAGAAGAAAAAAAGATAACTGAAATATTGAAAGACATTAAAGAGCTTAATTTGAGTTATTTGTAAGCAAATTAAAATATCTTATATAAAAACCATTCTATACGAATATATCATATATATATAAAAACATTTCAGTCTGGCTTCCGTCTACTACATAGTACTGAACCTGCCCTTGTAAAGGTAGTGAACGATTTATTACTTTCTTGCAACACTGGCTCACTATTTTTACTTCTGCTACTTGAACTCAGCTCTGCCTTCGATACGATCTCTCATGATTTGCTTATTTCTCGCCTCTCGGATGTGGGTATATCTGTACTACTCTTTCCTGGATCTCTTAATACCTCCTTGATAGACAGTTCTACATCTCTGTTCAGGATTTCAGATCTCCTAATGCCCCCCTGAAACAAGGCGTCCCCCAGGGTTCCGTTCTTGGGCCTTTGCTGTTTATCATTTATATTTTACCATTGGGTCTGATTTTACAGCATCATGGCTTTAGCTATCATTTTTATTCTGATGACATTCAAATTTACACATCTTGCAGGCCTTCTCTATCCACCCAAATTGACCAAATTTCTATTTGCATGCAGGAAATAAAAGTATGGCTCAACTCTATTTTTCTAAAACTTAATATGGATAAAACTGAGATCATCATTATTGGAACCCCGTCACTCACTACCAAAGTTCCCCCTGACTTTACCTGCAATATCACTGGTACTCTCATCACACCATCTTGTATCATCAAAAATCTTGGTGTTATGTTTGACTCCTTTCTTTCTTTTCAGTCTCATATTAACTCTCTCACTAAATCAACATTCTTTTATTTACAACGAATCGTCCGGCTCAGTCTTTTCATTATTGTCAAATATGCAGAAACTCTCATCCATGCTTTTGTTTCATCACGTCTCAATTAGTGGTCGACCGATATAAGTATTTTCTGTTTGGCCAATGTGTTCGAGGCGGGACTTTTATTTTGAGGGCACACAGTGCTCACATTCTCCCTCTTGTTCGCTGTCGTCGTTCAGTTCTGTCTAATATGGATAGAAGTCTATCTAATAATCAGATAAAACTGTTAAACAAAGGAATTAAAATGTATACAAAAATTATATATCGTATTATAACGATTGCTTTAATATTATTAGTAATAGAAAGGCAAACATTATAATACTTTCTCATTTGCCGTCAGCATTCAGTAAATACGCATTTATATAATTTAAACAAATTTTTGAATGTCTAATAAACATCTAATTTCACAAACCTTGCAGACTTAGTCAAATCTAGTTGAGATCTTGTGAAGTGTGCATTTGTATCCTGCATGATCGCGTGTTGTTCTCTGCGTGACGGTCGGTCCGTGTGAATTGAATGCTGACATGAGGAGAGTTCTGCTTGACTGGAGACGCGCGATCGACAATCTTTAATCTCGTGATTGTTTTCAAATTATGCTGCGCTTTATGCATTTGCCCACTGTCATATTCATGTCATTTTCATAGCATGCTGTATGTAAAATGAGTGTTACCTTGGCTTTATTTGAAAAAAAAGTATGTTTATTTTACACAATTATTTTTAATCCAATTATTTCAAATTTCTTAAATATAAATTAAAATAAATAAAATTATATCGGCTTTATATCGGCCACCCTGCTTTCCAAGATATCGACATCGACATCGGCTGTCAAAAAACCCATATCAGTCGACCACTAGTCTCGATTATTGTAATGCCCTTTTCATTGGCTTACCCGTTGCCTCCATTGCTTAATTACAGTATATTCAAAACTTAGCCGCTCGTATTATCACCCACACTAATTCATTTTTATATTTCCTATTTTTTACTTTTTTGGTTTTTAAGTTTTTGTAATATCTCTATATAGTTTTATATAGTTTTTTTATTTCACTTTTAGTTTTTAAATAGTTTGAAATAAAACAAGTTTAATTTTTTTAAATAATTATTTTATATAATTTAATATATAATTTGTTTTATTCCAGTTCATGCAGTTAATGTTTATTTTATTTCAAATAACAAAAATGGTTATGTTTACTTTGTTAACTGTATAGTTAACCAAAAGTGTATAGACACACGCATACTTTTGGACAGAACAAAAAAATTTAAACTATTTTATTATTTTATTACACATATGCCAAAAAATACACACAGTCTTTGCCAAAATAAAATGACAGTCAGAAGTCTGATAATGAGATTGGATGGATGGATCTCATTAAAACAGTTAGAATCCAGAACTATACATGAACACAGAAAGTCTGAATATGCGACTAAACACTAAATGAAGCCGAGTGTGGGAGAGACGCACGGCTGAGGAAAGCACAGCAGGATCAGCACATATGAGACGACTGACTATCCGACAGGAAGATGATGTCACAGACGAACCGACTCGCTCCACGGCAACAGCTCTGCCATGGTGACCGTCAGCGAGAGCCGAAGCTCCTGATACAGCAGGTGCAAAACAAACTCAAAACCAACCAGAATAATCACAAGCCACACTGTAAAAAATGACCGTGAATTTAACGATAAAAGACTGTAAAAATGCTACAGTAAAAACCTGTTCTGAAAGATCGTAAATGCTTATTTAGTTCCTGTGTTGAGAGATTTGTTTGGGACGGACCTACTGTACAACATACTGTCAATGGACAACAGCAGAGACATAATATGCATGCTATTTCCGAAGCATTCTGCTTCAGTTTAATATTAGTTATACTATTATAGTATTTATTCATATTTTGAATTGTTTTATTTTTATATTTTCTGTTTTCATTTAAATTTTAGATTCATGTAATTTAATTTATTTTGTGCTCGTCATTTTGAATAAAAAAAATTTGTATATAAAGATTCTATATAAAATTAATTCTATAAAATAAATTAATCTATATAAAATTCTATATAAAAAAATATTTTTTTAATTTTGTTTTAGTCATTTTAGTACCTAAGCTTAAACTTGTTTATTTCGTTTAGTTTTAACTTAAACATATTTTATTTGGATGCCAAGGAACCAACTTTTGTTTATTATTATAGTATGTTTTTCACTTAATATTTATATTTAATATTATTTCAGCTTAATATCATTAAAAAAAATACTTCTACAAGTTTTTTATTTTATTTTAGTTGTAGAAATTTTAGAACCTCAGTTTACACTTATTTATTTCATAGTTGTCAAGGCAACATTTCTAATTGCATTTTTTTCATTTATTTTTCATCTAATATTTATATTTCATTTCAGCTTTATTTCAATTACAGAGCATGACTTCTATATAGCTTCTAGAAGTTATTTTTTAATATAGTTTGTTTTACATCTGATATTTATATTAATTTTCTTTCAGCCTAATTTTAATAAACAAAAATGACAAAATTACTTCTTTCAGTTTTAGTAATTTTAGAACTTATTTTAGGTTTTTATTGCACACACACACACACACACACACATATATACACACACACACACACACACACACACACAGTATACTAGCTTTTTTCATAATTTTAGCTTTATTTCAATATTTCAGTAACTGAAAATGACTTCTATATAGCTTCTGTTTTTCTTTACGTTATAGTTTGAGTAATTTTTGTACCTCAACTTAAACTGATTTATTTTAATTTTTTTTACTTAGCTGGTTTTTCATCTAATATTTATATTTTATTTTATTTCAGTTACCTAAAATTATTGTTAATAGTTTTAGTTAACAATAACAAAACTGCTACCATGCTAAAATGACTGGCATGCATCACTTCAGGCAGTTTATTGCTTTATTAAATGTAATGCATGATTATGGCATCATTCTAGCAGCGTCACAGTGATTTACTGTAAGAGAGTGAGTCACATTCACTCCAGTCCCATTAGAGCTCTGATATGAACACCCTCATCGCCTGCCATCAGGACCAGCAGGAGTTTACTCTCAAACGCAGATCAAAGGCAGATTAAGCAGGGCTAAACACCCTCAGCGTGCGTGTGTGTGTGTGTGTGTGTGTGTGTGTGTGTGTTTCAGAGAGCTTGCAGGACGATCAAAGTCACTCCATGTCCACTGGCATGAAACCCAAGCCAGCAGCTGTGCCGTGTGCCAATGCAGTTATGAGCTGCACTGACCCGTTTACTTTATACACATTAGATGCATAAAAACTACCTTTTTACAATTCAATCAATTCTTTGTATACATAGAATTTTTTTTTTTGGTGAATATCGTGTTTTTACTTTGAAATGCATCACATTAGGGAAATAAAATGGTTTGACATAAATCAGTGTTATTTTAGTATTATTGATATATTATTGAAGTATTTATTCATATTTTGAATATGCTTTTTTATCATATGTATCTAATGACATAATTGTTTAGTATTATTTCTTTTATTATATTTTTACATTATTTATGTAAAAAATTATATTATTTATTCATACTATTTATAATATTTATTAATATTTTGAATTAGGTTTTATTTTTATATTTTAATTTTTCAATTTAATTTTAGTTTAAGTTTCTGTGATTTTATGTGTTGTTAAATGTAGCTTTATTTTTTTTCAGTTTTAGTTGTAGTAATTTTAGTATCTCAACATTTCATTTAGTTGTAACATACCTTCTGTTTAAATATTTTTTTGTCTTTTAATGTTTCTTCATCTATATTTATTTATATAAATATATAAATATTTATATTTTATTTTATTTAAAATGGTCATTTTTTATTTTAATTTTAGTTTAAATTTTTGTAATTTTGTCATGTGCTTTTGCATTTTTTATTTTTTATATATATATTTCTATATAGATTTAAATTAATATTTTTATTTCAGTTTTAGTCTTAATATACTTAAACTCTCATTTTTGTAAAAGTTTAAAGTTTACATTTTTCATCTAATACATTTTATTTTAGCTTTATTTCAATTACGGAAAATGGTTTGTAATAGATTTAGTTTTAGGTAAC